AGACAATTTTGTCTAGTAGACAATAGGAGACAGTCGTATTAGGCAGTCTTGTAAAGAGAAGACAGTGGAAGACAATAGAAGAGTGATAACCATACAAGACAGTAGGACATCTCTGTTTGTTTTGTTTCAGTCGTCACCAAGCTTGCTTCCTGGACTGGCATGTTGCAAAAACGATCAGGTGGGCTGGAGTGATGATTGTTGGTCTATTAAAATCAGTTTTACATCATCCCTAACTGTCTGTGCTTTCTGCTTTGCAGTCTGTTGTGCTGCATTTTTAGTGAATTCTTTACTTCTATTAATCATCGACCCGGAAGAGACTTGGAGGCTGCTGGAAAACTATAGTGTTGTCCTCCTTGCCAGCAGGTGAAAACACAATATACTTTTGCATTTCCCTATGGCTTCCTCTATGAGTCGTAGCTGGCTGGATGCCTTATCTGTTTAGAGACAGATAAGGGAAAAAAGAACTTCCCCTGGGGAAAGAAGGACATGGTAGTATTTTTTTGACACTTTCCAAATCTCCTGGTACATTGGACTGTGGGATCTACATGGGTCATGTTGTTCAGCTCAAAGAGCTGTTTCACTGATGAGGATTTCCAAAGTGTATTGCAGTGTGGTGCTTTTTTAAATTTAATTTCTGTCAGTTCTTTCCGGGAAAGGCATTCTGTGTCTGTTTGTGTGAGTGACAATGACAACCAATTCCCATTTTGATATCTGAGACACAGAAATAAAATCCCCTCTCGAGCCCAAAGATACTTATTTCTGGTACCCTGCAGATCTAGTATATAAACAAGAAGGACTCTGCTTTTGTATGTGTCCCCCCCAAAAACCCAGCAAAACAAAACTGTTAACTGTAATCTCACTGAGTGAGTCAGAGAAGAACATGAGCTTGGCATGCAATAAGAAAGCTAAGGCGGTACTCAGCAAAGATGAAAGTGATACTGATGACCATAGTTTAATTGGGTTTTCATAAAACATGCTGTTCTTCACAATTTGGCTAATGCTTGATAGTTTCTTTTTATGAGTCTGGCAAGACAATGAAACTTCAAACCATTTGCTTTGCAACTGGAAAAATGAACCAGAGAGATATTCAGAAGAGCACTAGGACTCTTTGTCTCTTGTATTAAGGAGAAGCACTTCAGCAGCAAGGGAAGGAGAACCTCCTGCAAACATACAAGCACAGTTTAGCAGTAAATCAGCTCAGCTGCAGTCCTCACCACGTGATATTCTGTACTTGCCACTGGGGAGAATTCTGCTCATCTCCAGACAAGATTGTGACTTGAGTTAATATTTATTTCCGTTTTTACAGATATGCTGTCCAGTGATGGATGGGGTGTGTTAACCTTCTACGTTTTCACACCTGGTCCACACCTGTTTGGGATCTCATTCCCTGTCCTACTGGGCAGCAGCTCTTGAACTTTGTTGGATCCTGGATCTTGGGCCAACTGAGGGTGGTGAAAAGCTTTGAAACTCTTGGCCAAAGGGCTTTTTGTTTTTAAAGTCAGAGAGGTTGGTAGGTTTTGTTTTGTTCTTGAGTGAATATTCATTCTCATGACAAAAACATTTCACAATAAGCTGTTTTCATTTGACAGCTCTTTGGCAGTACATGTGTGAAATAAATTGGTTTTTTTGTAGTCCAGTTCCTAGTGGTCAAGAATATCCCTGTCTCAAAAAGGCTTTGGACTTCCATTGCACTCATTGACAGTTTAATCAAAAAAGTTGTGGACTAAGTATTCCTCAGAGTCTACACTCTCTAGGGAACATAGAAGTCCATCCTTCAGCACACTGTGAAGAATCTTGTCTTGCCTGTGCAGCTCTTTTTGAGTAAGAAGGGGACTTTGGTCTCCAGGGCTGTGGATTCAATAGCATGAAATTCAATACCAAAATTTTAAAACAAAAAACAAATGGTATTGTTTTGAATCCTTTTATAGCATGTTTTTTTCATTTGCACTGTGGGAGCTTTAAATATTAGTATGTGAGCACTAGCCAAATTTAGGTTGATCAAGACTAGAGGAGAGTTCAGAGAGACCCAACTAAACTTACTGAGGAAGAGGCTCCATGGCAAATGAAGTTCCTTGTAGAGTGCCAGAAGACAAAGCATGATCTGGGAGAAAACTAATTTGCTCAGATGTCTTGAATTGCTCTAACTTAATTCTTCTAGTTTAGGAAAAGACCTGAGCAGCATTACTCAGTGCATTTTTAGTATTACTGTCTACTTGACTGGGCAGTGTGTGAATGGCAAGTATGTGGAGAGTCACTGTAGTTATTAATAACATAATTGAAAGCCAGAATAAACATGATGTTTCAGGCTTTTAAACTAATGTCAGTTCAAATTTGGATGGTGAACAGGCTACTAAGTGGATTTTAAATCCTCCTCTGTCTATTCTGGTAGCTTTTTCAGGAGGTAAAATACTGAACTGTGGAGACCTTGGGACTGCTGCAACAGTTGGGGTGTCATAAGCAAAGGCCAAGGCATGCAGCAGAGATGGGTTGTGGGATCACAGAGCTGAGTTGTGTTTAATTTGTGAGCAGACCAGCATGTCATTGTTGTGCTGGGGGCTGTCGATCAAGGCTCAAAGACAACTCCTGGGCAATATGTTGTGGTCCCAGGGCGGAAAGAGTAGAGGAGCTGCAGGTCAGCAGAGATTGTGGTGGTGGTGACACCAGGGAAGAATAGAGAAAGAAAGGGAGTTGCCAGTCAGAAATGAGGGCTGCTGGCAGAGCTCAGTATTTGGAGTAACTGGTTAATGCTAAGTGCTTTCTTCTTCCTTGGATGCCATTATGTGTCAGTTTTTCCTTATTGGGTTTCTTTTTTTTTTTTTTTTTCCATTTTCCTTTAAGAATCTGAATCCCCCTGAGCAGCAGGTGATCTTGACTATAATGTAGAGGAATAAGCTAGGGAAAGTTTTTTCAAAAGAAAGTGGATTATAAAAACAACCCTCTCTGCACGGCTTGAACCTGTCAGCATGATGCTGCCGACGATGCAGCTGGAGGGGAATGCAACAGGCTCCACAGCCCTGAGACAGAGCAGCCCACACAGCCTGCTAATGTTATGGGCCTGGCATGGATTTGGGGAAGGTGTGCCTGCTTTGCCAGGTGGGCCATGCATGGAAGTCAGATGCTAAAGTAGCCGTAAGCCTCTAATCAAAGTAATCATTTTGAATCTCAGTTCTGCCAAGAGCTTGAGAGGGGTAAGGAAAGTGCCTGAAAGTCCTGCTGGGCTCATCTCCAATGTACATCGTGCTTTTGAGTGTCTGCTTAGGGACTTATCTTTTGGCCCTTCGCAAGATGAAAGGACTCTTCGTAAGGATAGTCCTCTCTGCACATGGCTGCAGCATGAAGTTGTGCTGGTGTCCAGGCATGGGGCAGTCAACTAAAGCTAGAAAGAAAGTGGCCAATGGCTGGGGAAGTTTGTGTGAAGTGGCATGGGATGCTGGTCTGCCCAGGATGTCTTGCTGCTCGGCTCAGTGTCAGTAGCCCTAGAGCAGGAGTTGCTGGAAACATTTCCATGCAGACAAATTGACTCTGTTTGTTCCTGTTGGCTTTGTTCCTTTCTCTTTTGTGTTCCAGAAAGGGAGAATTTACCCTCTGCAAATGCAGGGCTTACACGCAATTTTCCCGGAGCTCAGTTAGCCAAATCAGCAGGAGCTTTTTGGAAATGATAGGAGCCAGCTGAGGTCAGTTTTGATCTGGTAAGAACTTTACTAAACCAGTATTGGTGGGAGTCACTTTCATTAGACCAAGTCAGTAGGAACTGCAGAGAGCTGGCTGAAAAGGTGTAATTCCTGGTGAGGAGTTCTTGGATGAAAATCACTTCCTAGATGAAGGAGTCAGGGCTATGCTGAATTATTTGCTGCTAGAAGAGTCTTTGTTCTCAACCAGCTGAACTCGACTAGTGTCTTTAAGTCTTTTTCCAACTTTCCTTATTGTATACTAAGACTCTTTCCAAACAGACAGCAATGGACCTATAGGTTTTGCGTAAGGAGTATCAGAAGTTATTATGCCTTTTGTGGGTGCCCAGAGGCCAGGCTGGAACCTTCTCTGCTCAAAGCTACTGTCTTAATTCCACTGTGTGGTCCTCACTCCAGTTGTATGGAGGCTTCTCTTGATCTTCAGAAATATTGCAGGAAACTATTTTCTCTCACTGTCCTCAGAGCTGTCTATTTGGAGGTGTCATATCATAGCATGACACATGAATGTATGTAGTGTTATCTTCTGGCATATTTGGCATGCCACGTCTCTAGCTGTGCAGTAGCGTATGTGAGCATGTCCTTGTGTCTGTCAGTTGAGGTAGCTCACCCTATCTCCCAGGATGATTTTGCGTTCTGTTTTCTGGTTTGTTACATCCTGATGATGGCATAAATTTTCTCAGGGTGCTTCCAGGCTGTCCTGCTTCTCATATGTCATCTGATCCATGTTCTTAAGTGACTAGCTGGAGATACAGATCTCAGCTCAATTCTCTGCTTTGCCACAGACTTTCTGTGTGACCTTGACAAGTAATGAGGTGATATTTCCAACATGTTTTTCTTGTGAGCAATTAAGGGGCACATTTTTAGAAGCAGAAGTCAAACTCCAAGAGAATAGCAAGAATGAGCTTTTGCATGCTGGCCAGTCGTGAAGTACAGAGTACCTACTTATGGTCTGTGTGTTTTTATTTGAGAAATAATAGCTTAATTACCATATGATCAGGAGCATAGCTACACTGGCAGAGATACCTAGGGGGAATATGGTCTGCATGTCTAGACTCCTTACTGCTGGACTGGGCATTGTTTACTGCCTCCTTTTCCCAGCCTAGGGCCATATCCTTGTTTACCGAGTGACAAAAATGAGGACACTATAGAGTGCATCTGTTTGGAGACATCTGCATGAGGGGTTTTGCTGGCACAGTTACATCAGCAGCCCTCTGGCTGGGTGAGCTTTGCAGTGTGGGACAAGCCTTAGTCTTTGAGTTCCTCAGGGACTTAACTGGCTATGGTATATAATTGTGCCTCTCTTCCCTATAGGTCTGTATGAAGTTGGAACACACTAAAATTAAGAGTTGCACAAGTTGTAGCTGAAGGGGCCATTGAAAAACTTTGATAGGTACATTATCATTCAACTAAGATTTCATAAGATGTTCAGTTCATAAAATGACTTGAAACATGTGCACTTAATAAGTGGATGTGCAAACATGCAGAAGGTGGAGAGATAGATCAGTTCAACATTTCCCTAATTCTAAATGTCCTTTGCAATGCTACTAGAGACACTCGTGTTTATATCCAAGGAAGAAAAATGTAAAACAGAAGAGCATTAAGGTGATCTGTTTACTTTTAGCTACTCACCTGTCTTGCACAGTGTTTTGGTTGTTCGTACTCAGTTTTGACTCTCAAACAGAGTGAAGTCATTGAATTGGGGATTCTCAAGAGGCAAGTGTGGACAATGGCATTTTCCTGTAAATTTGAGGCCTTTCAGCTAATCTTTATTAGTCTCTGCTATAGGGCTAGTAGTTCTGAGACTTAGTAAGCAATTATGTTTCTTTCAAAACAACATTGTGAAATGGATCCAACTTCATGCTTGAAAGTTACTGCTGGTGGAAGCTCTGTAACCTGATCCATTCCTCCACTGATAAGACTGTTTTTCCAGTGTGGCCTGTAAAAGTAGCTCTTTCTTTTGGCCTGAAAACTGATGGCCCAATTGACGTACCACCTTTGGATTCGGGGAGAGGCCCTGAACGCACTGTTTTCAGAAAAAAAACCCTATTCCTTGTGGCTGCTTCTCTAAAGTCAGCATTTCACATCAGTGCATACTTGGCCTTTATATCTTCAAGGCATCTTTTTTTTTTCCCTTCCAGATACTTGGGAACAGGAGGTTCAGAATGTTTGGTGATGAAAAAGCAGTGTGATGCCAGGGGCTGTATTGCTGGCAGCATAGCATGAACACCCTTGACTTATAAGCTGGTGCCAAATGAAGTTCTCAGAAAACCACGGAAAGACTACCTGGAAAATCAACAAATGTGTTACATGCAAATGAGCCAGCTGCCTTTTTGTAGTTCTCAAAATGAATCCTTCTTCTGCAAGGTGGTTTGGGCATTTTAGGGAGTGGTAAGTGAACCACACCTCTTCTTCCAAATTTTTCTCACTGACCCACTACTGGGCCTTAGTTCTGCCAAGGAAAAGCCTTTTTAAAGTTCAGTGTCAACAGTCAAATGTTGTCTGTTCTCTGAAAGGACAACATGTATCTGAGGGATCTAAAAATATCATTCAATGTTGAGAACTAGAGAATTTACGTACTTTGTAGGGACCCAAATTACATAGAGCAAGTAAAATACAAAAATTAATAACTTTGTCCAGTAAATAATTGCTGGTAGCATGTGAGGACAGTTTTCAGGAAAGACTAGTTTTCATTCTTGGTTTCCTGAATTGATATATGTCCACTTACCCACCTACCTCTAGTGGACAAGCACAAGATTATGTTGAAGAATACAGACCCTGAGTTAGATTTTGAGTTAGACTCTTTGCATATTAGCTATGCCATGCACAGACAGCGGGAGGAGATCATTAGGAAGCCAAATGCAATTTTCTTGTCATATGGGACAGTCACAGAGTGAGTTATGGTATGCTATGGGCAGTTTTCTCTTATGCTATTGATGGATAAACTCCATGGACTCTTAATCTATGAAGAATCAGATAATAAAACAGAATTCTGTCAAGAGTTCTGCTCCATTAAGGCGTCTCTCCCCCACCAGGAACCACTCCACTGTCCCTTTGCACTCACAGTCCTGACAATATACATTGAGTTATGCAAAATGGCAGGGATGGAAAAAAGACTGATAAGTGGTATATAGTTTCCAGGCCATTTCTTCCATCCCATCTCACTCCCTGTGTTTTTATAAATGGCAGAGAGAGACTGGTCTGTAGCATACAAGTCATGTTACTTTTTGGTTTTTTTTAATAGTATACATTATACACTGAATTGTGGTATAAACTGCAAATGCTCTGTAAAGGGCTTTTTTGCCCTTCAATACAAAGATGTCAGTCTGTGCCCCTTGTACAGCTCTGCCTCTCTCTTCTAATGGGAGGCCTCAGCATGGGGAAACACATCCTAAGAAAGCAGAACAACAGGGCGGGAATTAGTCGGATGCAGAGGAGAGCAGCTCGATACTAATGGCCAAATAGGCTCTGACAGCCTCACACCAACTGGCCACTCTCCTCTATGGGGAGTTTATGAGGCCTTGGCTTGTGTGGCCACCTCCACTTACGAATGAAAATCAAAACCAGATTGATGTCCCCCTCCCAACAGCAGCTGCCTGATTTTTCGCATAAATCGTGCTCCCCGGCCCCTCTCCAGGGGAGCTCCATAAAATAAATGGATTCATTACATGCGGATTTCCTTTTCCTTCTTCTCTGGAGAAACAAAGAGCCTATTAGACGCAATATGGAAATGCACATATGCATGCACACACGTGCAGACAACATGAAAATGTGCACGTGCACATGCAGCGTATAAGCTCCCTCCCATCTCTGTACCCAGAGAGTGCCATAAAATACATGGACAAAATCCCTTCTCCTTACATGCACAGCTCTGCCGAACACACAAGCCTGTATTCATTCACACAGATCTGCAGCTTAAATTCTAAACTAAAAAGGACAGGAAAGCCCAGGGCAAGTTGCTCCTTCCAGAAGGTGGAGAACTGTGAGTGCACTGAGTGGAGGTTATTTCCTTTTGCCAAAGCCTCCCCCAGTGCCCAGGAGCTGTGTTTTTACCAAGAGCATAAGGGCCCCATCCTCCGCAGAGCAGGGCTCACAATAGGCTGCACGTTTGGGACACCATAACCGCAAGAGCTGGGAGGCTGCCAGCTTTCTCTCCAGCTGAAATAGAGGAAGGTGCTTTGTGGCTGAGAAGAGGCAGAGGGATGAAGGTAAGGAAATGGCTGGGTGCCCTTCATTCCTCTCATCTCCAGGTGGCGGCAATACTGGCACAGGAAAGAACTGGAAAACATACCTTCCTCAGAAAGCTCTGCTTGTGTGAAGCAGCCACAGACGCAAATCTCACACACCTGTATACCAGGGTGAGGGATGCACTGGAAACCCCTTGCTGAGCAGGTTACATGAAGTTAAGAGGTGCATTCACCTTCAAAATGATGCCCTAAGACACTGGCCCCAGGACAAGACTGTAGTACGTGGGCACGCTCACACTGTATGCTAAACTTGGGTCAGAGCCCAAGTCTGAGCACTAACTTGCTTCCTATGCAAATTGTGAACGCCCTAACCCTCAGGGCCGACTCCCTACATCTTCAGTCGGAAAGCCTTTGGGGCTCTAAAAGCCCAGCCTCAACAGGGTGCTGTGCTATAGAGCCAAAATTACAGCAGCAATGGGAAACTGGTTGTAACCTTTACCAGCTTCTGGCTACCACCTGACAAGGGAGC